AGTTAAATAAGTTACTCGTAAATGGTAATAATCGTTATCAATGACGATGTCAATACAATGAGTGACATTGTTCATATAGGACGTACGTGGTTCTCTTTATATCAAATCCATTCCTTTCGACTGCACCTTTTATACTCATTTTTTCTCTTTCCCCGTCTTTCTCTTAGCGACATATCTATTTTTCTTTAAATATAAAAAAGTACAGTCGAAAAGAAAATAGATCTATTTTTAGCTAAATTTTTAACTCGCGAGCAATGGCGTCGACTGAGTCGCTGTTCCGTTGGCGCCGTCAATGACGGAAATCGTTTCGTAAGCGATGCAATTACTTTGAAAGTGACGGAAGGGCATTAAACTGTTACATACTTGCCCGATAATAATAATAAACACTCGATGCTTCCGATACACGTAAAATTGCAACGAACTAATGTTAACCCGCTTCGAAAATTTCGATATACAATAAAAAGTGTACAGCTTCTTATGTCGTTTCACGTTCAAAATAAATAAATAAGCATAAGCACTGTTTTTTTCCCTTGAAAAATATAAATTAAAACAAATTAGACGCTTAATTTATTTAAAACAAAATTTAATATATAATTTAGAAATCATTTAAACAATGCTTTTCATTTCTTTATCACATGTCTCTATTTTAATAGTCTCTATTTTATAATAATAAGTTACTTTTGATACAATGAATAAGATAAATCAATATCGCAATTATTTCTTGATCGACGTCATTCTCACGTAGTTTTTCAACAATATATAATCCATAAATTCTCATTAAAGTATTCTAAATACAATGCTGCTGCGTAATAACGTGCCTTTCGCACCTGCTATACCGATACGATTATCGTTTACAATAATTGGTCCTGAATAAACGATAGAACCAAATCCGGTAATACGATATTGGCGTATCGTACGAATGAGGGATTTACAATCGCATGGATCGCAACTTTGTAGTTGAGCCGTACGAAAATCGACGACGAGTCGCGATTTGTGATCGTAAGATGAAAACTCTGAGAATTGAAAATTTCTTCTAAGGCCTGCGGCACGTTAGAAGAGAATAAAAGACGCCATTACATACTGTTACTTTAACACTCTAACATAACCGCTTGATGATAAGATTTACGGTTTCCTAAATTTGCGCGCGTGATAAATACTATGCGTTGTCGTTTCTGATGATTTCTAGTGAGAAATGACTCATCGAATTAATGTCGAATTAACTTCGATATTATATTCGATAATTTCAAATTCGATTTGACATCGATTCAATCTAAATGACATTCATTTCTAGCTGGATTGCAGTTCTCCGACCGACTTGTTCCGGAGAAGACTTCTGACGATTATCTTCCACTTCACGATTTGCATGGAATTTTATTTGTTCGAGTGACGATATCAGCGAGTGTCTCATTCCGTACGTGAAATTTCAATTCTTTTTTTCTCGATCTTCCACTCCAAATTGACATCAGCCTAACAATAAGAACAAGACATACATGGATTGTATAATTGTCATAAATATATATGCAATAAATAATTTATACAATTATCATAAATATATGCAACAGAAAATTTAATTAAGTTAATAAATACAGATTGCAAAATATATACAATCTGTATTTGTTAACTTAATTAAATTTTCATCATTAAAAATTAAAAAGAGAGAAAAGTTTTCAAAATAATTCATTAAAATTGAAAATGTATGTAACATTTAAAAATTCAACATTGATTGTATGAATAGAAAAAAATATCTTAAAATATCTTCAAACAAAATATCTGATTGAATAAAAAAAATTTCTTAAAATATCTTCAATATATCTTCAAATCTCAATGTTACACTTCTGTCATTTTTTGAAAGTGGATAACGTTGTTGACATGCTCGAATTTACGTAACACAGTTCTCATTAATAGGAAAGATATACTGGTTGATACAACAGATTAGCATTAGAATCATCGGGAGACATAAAAAAAAGACCGAGAATATCTTTAGCAGCGTATTCCTCCATCCATTCTCCGCAAAAGAGAATTTCATTTTACTATAAATTACTTTAATCTTTATGTTGTAACGATAATAGATGTATAACGCGTAATTATAATCTTATATATACACCGAGTAAACGCTACGATACAAAGCTAAAATCAATAAATGTTCGCCAAATAATCCATTCTCGCTGTCCTCGGTTATCATTTTAATATTATTGTGATTATTATTATTATTTATCGTTAATTATTATTATATATTATTAAGAGCCACGATGTGTATATATGTGTGTATGTATGTGTGTGTGAGTGTGTGTATATATTGTAAAGAGCGTCCATAGCCTTATACCTAGAATGAGCATATCCTCTTATGCGCTGTCATATACATTTTTCGATAAAATCAATATTTGCTCAATAATGTTGTTTTTCTTAATAAATAATTTACAATAAAATTTATATATTTGTAAATATATTTTTAAAACTATAAGGGAATAAATGTAACATATATGTATAAATGAAAATAATATAAAGTTTTATACAAATTGAAAAAAAGAATATGTCCTTAATGTCTAGGATTTCTGATCATCCTAAGTATGTTATGAAATGGACGCTACTGGATGCTTTTTTTTATATCATCACTATAACTCGATAACGCATATATATAACTTCTCTCTTAGTTTATCAAAACTTAAATTGCACCAGCAATTAACATATAATTAAAAGAAGCGATGATCAATCAACAAACTTATAATTTATGAAAAGATTTGTGATTAACATATATTTACAAAATCATATGTAGCTCGAGTTAGAAAAATCTTGGACCATGCACGATTTTCTATTCTCAAAATCAACTATTTTGACTAATCGCAAAAATTTGCATATAAAATGTTTGCTATTAATTTATTTAATATTTTTTAAAGTTAAACAGCTTTCGTCATGCAATAAAGGATTGCGTACGAAAAACTAAAATATAAAAAATTAATATTTTGTCCTATATCAAACATATTACTTGCTATGTCTGTATATTTCTTTCTCTCCGTTTCTGTATTTCATATCAATCGCGTCTCTCCACACAGATATCTCCTTGGAAGCATCCAATGATATATCAGCATGAATTTTGTTTACTACTTTAATTCGGCGACACTTTTAACTAATGGATCATTTAATTAACGCAAGTCAGAATAAATAGGCCCGTTTACGATTTATGACTAGAAACAGTATAATTCACAGCAGATATAATTCACGATACCATGTATATTAAGTATATATGTGTATGCGTATAATGGGTGATAGTGAGTAGAAAATTGCATAGTTACACGTAAAAAGCTAACACGCGATTGCATATCGCGTCGGGCGTGATATGCGATTTCTTCTTTGGAAATCGGACTGCATGATTTTGTTCGAGTTTATATGGTTCATTGATCAAAGCGTATCGCTTTTGTCTACATAAGCCGAATATGACTAGCAGAATATTACAATCAATATGTCTGCTATAAAAACTTCCCCAACAAATTATCTTATATCTGTCTGCATTCAACATCTATGTCCATCAAAGTCACACGTACATTTTTTAAAATATTTTAATAACGAAATATAATCATAACAGACGCAAAATAAAACAATAAGACAGTACAACTTTTTTTTTTATATAACGCAATTTAATATAATGTGATAATAATAAAGAGACTATAACAATGGAATATAAATTATATATATAACTTTATGTAATAAACTCATAAACTCTTTGTTGATGTATATATTATTGTACGTTACACTACGTGGAAAATATCGTCAAATTACAAATTCGTGTCATTTTATTTAATAGTAGGAAGTCATTTACGCGAGTAATTGAATCTAAGTGCTCCGAATCAGTGTCTGATATATAATTAATTCTCCTCGCGTCATATTATTTGTTTCATTTTAACGCATCATGAGATTTCCGTACAAATGGTGCATAATCCGGATGCCTAATAACTATAGTAGTATGTACGAAGGTACATCACAAATTCAAGCATTACTTCGCGCGTTGCACGAAAATATATCGTAGTATATCGCCGTTACACCCGAAGATCAATACGAAAACGTTCACCGTCGCTAAAAGCAACGTTCATGCACGTTCACCAAGTTACGCTTCGACCTTTCGAGTGCACGGAAGAGTTCAGTGCACGACCAATCTCGATTATTTTCGAAGCAATTTAAAGTAAAGCGCTGAATCGCAAGAAGAATATAAATGATGGTGCACTCATCTCAATATCTTATTAAAAGTCTCAGCAAAAGGAAAAACGATACAAAGGGCAAAAATATAAGATAATAATATGTAAATTAAATATACCGAGCATATATAATTATTATAAGAGATGCCTGTACGGAAGTAGCTATTTTATTTAATTTTAATTTAATTTTAGCTTATTTTTTGAATGAAAATTATGCATTTGATATAAATAACATTTACTATTTTATAATTTTGTAGCTTTGTCTTTTTTTTCCTTTTTACTGAGCCTCTTAATTTGCAGATTACAATCCTTATTTTGAGATCCTTTGCAAATCCAAATGCGTTGTCATCCATTATTAACTCCGCATATAGACACAACTGTGAGCGTTCGCATCGTCGTCACTATATGTCTCTTCCCTCGGAAGAAGATTATGCCGCTATTTTTACGGATAATACAATTGTTTTATACTTCGTAATACGAACGATATATTTAGAAAGTATATTACGGAAAATTGTGATCAAACAAACGAATCAAGATGGAAGCCTATCTAAGAGATAATGATGTAGACATTTCCTTGAAGCAACGATATTTTTTGCAAATCTCCAACATTTTCTTTGCTCAATCGATATCTCAAAAAAGACGCGTTACTTAAAATCATTCAACGTTACATCTACAGAGAGAAGTATATTAAATATACGTATATATACAAGACACTACACTCTCCATGTGGGAACATATTTTAATGTTAAATCCTTCATGGTTGGTATTTTATCATTTATCATAGATTATTAATATCTATTAAATATGGATTTGTTTTATCTTTCCCTATAGATTTTTTTCTTTTTTTCCCTCGATTTTCTATACCTCTCTCTATTTCTTTTACTCTTGTCTGTTGCCTGTTCTCTCGATCAATTATCCTGTAAAGAGAAGATGTTTTCAAAGATTCTTTATTATAAAACTTTTTTAAGTCGAATAGGCAAGACAAGACAAAGCAAGAAGGAAACCGCTCGCGCTCATTATACAAGCTATCTCAATAATTTTAATAAATTTAATGTTTATCTTGTTGTTAAATTTAATTTCGAAATATATTTGTTTCTTAAAATCTTTAAAAAGCAATCGTCTTTTTGATTATTCAAGAAATTTATTAAAAATAAAATTATTCTAAAAGTTTCTTATATATAATATAATAAACTTCATTAAAATACTGACCATATATATATGTATCTTAATTGGAAAATCAATGTTCTTAATCCTTCTTATCTCCATCTTCAGGATCCTTCAGCGTGTGCCACTGAGCGATCGGGCGCCTGGGAGACGCCAACATATCAGACCAGTGTCTCAATTCCGTTCCACTCGCATTATATCCCAAGACTACCTTTCCAATCGGTTCTGATGTGCCAATGCGATCGTAATCTACTACAGTGACGACGAGTTGTACTTTCTGAAAGATCACATCAAATATTACAAAATAATAATTAAATTATTACATATCATCAATTATATTAGTATTATTATTATTATTATTCTAATATATATTTTAATTAAAAAGTTAGGATACATACAATATACATATCAGTGTAAATATAAGAGGGCATAATTTAGGGTGGGTACAGACTTAGACAGAAAAGCAGAAAGCAGAAAAATCAGAACTCGCGCTGATAGTCGCTGGTTTTGGTTTTCTGTACTGCTTACTAGCGCAAATTTTGATTGGCTGCTGCTTTTCTGCTTTCTGCTTTTCTGCTAAGGTCTCAATCCACTTTTATAGTTTAAGCATGTTTACAATAATAATAATGATTACATGTTTATAAAATTAAATAGTCGTCAGTTTTTAACTGTTACTGTACCTGAATTATCAACTATTATAAAAGTAAAATAATTTTAAAGCGACTTTCTTATTATAATAAGTAAATAAAACTTTCCATATAAATTGTTAAGAAGACCCTAAAGTCTGTATTATCGATAACCATATAATTTTTGTACAATAGCTACTTTTTTCTCTCCTACTGATTTTAAAATCCTTTTCCAGAATTAAAGTACGCATTAATACATGTCAGTGAAGTGGAGTTTATGCCGAGAACGACAAAAAATTTTTCTTAAGATTTTAATTTCGAAATTTTTTATCGCTCGCGACATAAACTCTACCTCATAGACACGTATTAATGCGTATATTTTAATGCTGGAAAAGAATTTTCAAATCTGTAAAAGAGAAAAAAAGTAATTGTTATACCAAAATTATGATTTAGTCGGTAATATACAGACAACTTTAGGATCCTCTTAAATTGTACTTTATAATTCTAAGCGGCTTTTCCTCAATTATTAAATCTTTACGCTCAATTTTCTCAATTTTTTAACAATTATTATTTAACGATTAAAACGTTTCTAATTAAATATATTTTTTTGCGTACCTGTATCTGCTCGAAAGGTACCTCGAAAGTGAATGATTCGTTGTAATACGGATTAAGAGTGCATTTCTTGATCGACGTTTTCTTCTTCTTCAATCTCTTTCCATTTTGCATCAACGCGATCTTAACGTAAGGATCTGAGAGGCCACCGACGTCCATCTTCTTCAGATTCTTAGCTTCCAAAATAACTACCGTAAGTTTTCCGGCCGTTGGTACATATCTCAATGAGAAACATATGTCACCCAGTTTATTATCCTGCAAGTAACAAAAATTTCTATTTAATGAAAAATATATTTTTAATGTGCAATATACTAAATTTTAACTACTAATTATTGCTATACTTAGACATTTCTATCATTCTAGCAAAGAAAAATAATTGCAGGTATCTTATTTTTATATATTGCATTATTATATGTATATTGTTTTATTTCTTCGATCAACTTACCTGTCCACCTTCACCTTCAACACTTTGTAATTCTCTCCATTCTTCAATCGTTTGCGCTAGATCTATTTGGCAGAGCGGCACCTTTACTTCGCCGATCTGATCGTGTTTCGAAAATCTATCAAAGTCGAAGATAGCAAAGACCAAAGTTTTATTCATTGCATCAGCATAAGGAACACCCTGTACAAAATGTGTTTATTAACACAACAATTGAAACAAATTATTAAGACAATTTTCACATTTTCTCAAAGAATTAAAGACAGAAATATAAGATTTATGTGGTTATTGTCGAATCCAAAATTTTGATTTTTCGAATACTGGGTAGAGACATTACAATTTTTAACTAACCTTAAACGTAAAAGTTTCATTGAAGATTGGATTTAATGTCTTCCTGTGAACTTTTGTCTCGAATTTTTTCTTTTTATCCGGTAATAAATACACTTTTACATACGGATCTGACGTGCCACCCATGTCCAAGGCTGGCAGTTCTTCCGCTTGTATTACTGTCACGGCGAGACTGTTCGAATTAAAATCGTATTCGAGCTGAAATCAAATACCAGTTCATTTGAATCTTAGATAATTTGCTTATTTGATTTTCTAGCAATTATAGTAAAAGAAGAAACAATTTGTACCTTATATTGTAGTTTTCCAAGCTTAACTTCACTTTGCTTACTCTCAGCTTCGTCCGGTTCTTCAGCATTGTCCGTCAATTCTTCCATATCCGGCTGAACCTTCGCATATCGAAGTGGATTCCACGAGTGTAGAGTGTGTTTCTAATGTCTACATAAAGTCACGGCACACTGAATACATACCTTGTCCTTGTATGTGCTCCCCAAAAGTTGCACAGACTTTAGATCCACTGCGCCCTTTAACCCCTTCTTGCCATCTTTGGAGCGTCGTTTGCGACAACATCTTCGTATACAGCAAAAGCAGATTCCGAGAACAATTACGCCTACAACTATATAGAAGAAAAATACAAAAATACGTTATAATCAAATTTCAATATAAATTTTACGTATGTAATTGTATATAATTGTAAATTATACAGATTTATTTGAAAGACGTATATTCTATCGAGCAGAAAAAATACATATATGTACAACATATATATACATGTAAATGTAAATAACATATAGAATAAATAAATATTTTGAATGAGCATATGCAAATAAGCATTTACAAAATAAAATATCTTGTCTTTATCCATTCCTTCTTTATAACATATGAAATTAGAAATAAATTATTTTAATTATTATTTGATATTTTTTTTTTAGATATATATTTCACAAAATGAGGTTTCCTTCGTACACATAATAATAAAGATTGATTGTTATTAATAATATTAATTGATTGAGATTATAAGTCACCTTCTTGAAAAGTGCATCTTTATTACCTATTAAAATAGCAACAAGACCCCATGGTGGTATTCCTGTTTCTTCTACGAGACTATTCTTCAATTTCTGAATTTCTTTTTCGATAGTCTTCTCTGCGCTTTTAGTTACAATCTCTTCCGTTGCTAGAAACAACAACCAGCTTAAACTAACATTTATCAAAAAGAATCATTATTACAGATTACATGTATCTGCCATTCAAAATCTAGTACCAATAATACGTACTAACAATTAAAGTTTAATTTCGTGATATAAAAAAAGTTTAGGCTAAAATTTATTGATTATTATTCTTATTGAAAAAGAAAACGGAGTAAAAGATCACAATAATACTTACTGACACTCTTTTCGTAACCATCTGTACCAAAGAGAGATACCTCCGCTTCGGTTGAGTCAATGTTCGGTTGCGTTTCTTCGTTACGCGGTTTAGAGGCATTTGCGTCTTTTGTGAACGGTGGCATTTTCTGCATCAAAAAAGTATTATTGTAAACACACCATACTCGGCAAGGTAGTTTATTCTACTTATACGATGTTTTACACGGTAAACATGGTAATTCTTCCTACAATAACAATTCTACCTATCGATTATGGTTTAATAATATTGAAGTAATCGAACTAATCTAATTTAATCTTATTTTCCCGCGACGGATTAAATTAGTTTGATTAATCAACAATATGAAGATTTAACGTAGCAACGATGCATGACGCGCACAACCAACAACGGACGTTAACGGACGCTGCTCGAGATTTCGTAATCTATATGAGAGCGTTTCCGCGCACGGCAGTTCAAGCCGCATGCGTATCTAAAAAAGCTTAGCTAAGCACGATGAACGTATCATTAAGGAAAATATAGTAATATGATATTTGTGTGTGCGCAATACACGTCACGGACGTACACCATTTATCCTGTGCAAAGTAAAAAATAGCATTGCGATGTAAACAGTAGCCATTCATAAAGGGTAATCGTAGCCCTTTATAATTGCATCTTGACGCGACGCGACTTTTTCAAAGAGAAAATTATTTTAAGAAATTTTTTCCTCTGCAATCTTTTTTATCGAATCGAAAGAATCTTTGAATTGATTTTCATTATCGGAACCTTTTCCTGAATTATTATTACGTGTAAATTCTGACAAATCCATAACAACGACCAGACAGATCTGTTGCTCAAGCATTTCGATTCTCATCGACGTTGTGTCTTATCGACGGAAAACAGTGTTTTTGCGAAAAAGGTTGCCGAGAGCTGAAAGGGAACAAACGTGCGGGTATAAAAGCGGTGCATTACCGCGCGCATGGCGATGTATTATCGAGCAGCGCGTGGGAGTTCGTCCGCGCCAATCCATAACTGAACGACGGTCGAAAGAAATGAAGGGAGATGAGATGGAAAGTTATAAGATAGAAAAAATTGTGAGATTTCGTATAAGCTACAAGTCAAAAAGTAAAGGAAACGAGACTTGTTGTGTTTTGAAGTGAGAAATACTCAAATTATATAGATACCTAAGGAATAAAATACGAAATGTCTCGTAAAACATTAACTTTTCAATTACTCTATTTTTCATACACAAAATCACGAGACAAATTAATTTATGCAAATTATTTTAAGATTAAAATGTCCTGATGACGGATCATTTGTCTATTTACCTATTGATTTTTCTTTACGGAAAATTCTACGAAAGATTAATACTCAATTAATTTAATGTTTTTATTTTGATTAGTTAAAAAATTAGTTAAAGAAGATGTCGTTAGAGTATAATTATTTTAAAGGATATTAAAATTTTTATAGTAATGATTAAAGAGCATTGATAATTCGACGTAATAAATTTACGTTAAATAATCAATGCTCTTTAATCGTTCCTTTATTATCTCGAAAAATTTACATTTTATAAATTACTACACAGAATTTAAATTATTGTAGAAAAATTTGCAATATTGTTTTTACTAGACGAAAAAATGTCTCGTAACGGTATTAAAAGTTATTTCAAGCGTGAAAGATTCATTTATCGCATGCTGCGCTTAAAAAACCTAGACTGTGAAAAGTTTAAAATACTTCCACTACTTATTTCATAAAGTTAAAATCCATTCAAGCAAATATCAAATTCACTATTTCTCAGGAAATTTATCGTTATCAATAAAGTGTCCTTTGTTTTACATCTGGAAAATATTTCTTTCTCTCTCTTTTCTTTTAGCATAAAGGAGCTCTTCGCAAAAATAAACTTTCTTCATTATAATCCGCTCTTTGATTAAAAAAGTGAAAAAATTATTATCCAAAATTCTGTCGCATTCGATTTATACATTCAAACCAGTCTATCAAGTACAGTTAGAAAAGTCTGTATATGTTTTATGTGATTATACTATAGATTAATTGGAATATCTGAATGTATCCAAGCGACTCCATATATGAGCGCGTGTACGTAATCAAGCACATTTAAAGAGCAAATCAATACAACTTGGTACTGATAAATAAATAGCTGGCAGAGTATAGTATCGTTCACAATCATCACTCACATCCTTAATATAAAGTTATTTCCAAAGTAACGCCAATATGATCATTTATTAAAATATATATTATATTAGTATAATATATAAAGCTATAATATATATAATATTGTATATTATATTTCCTAATTATATGTAGAATAATATATTTACGTAAAATCAACGCGTAAAGGAACACGGTAGTGTCGCTGCACTTGGTTTAACGCCGAGACACTATAACCGTGTCTCCTGATAATGAAACTAGAAATATCAGTAATAAAAGGAAAAAGATATAAGTTTCATTTGCGTTGTGATGGGGATATAGCAACTCTGTGTGATGTAATAACAGTTTGGAAAGTTTATATATATTGATTTATTTATATCACGCACATGTCTTCCCGAAATAACCGAGTCAATTGAGAGTAAACTTTTATGCGGTAGACTTTCTCCTTTTGCATCTCTTTGCATGCCAACGTCAACAGCTGTTTTCCGTAAGTTACTGAAATGACACTTGTCACACTTGGCTCAGCAGATGTTTAAACGTTGCGAAAAATACAAATATTTATTAAAGTGTCATCTTGCAAACACCGCGAGTATGTAAATGCAATTTACAGTCATGATGAAAATGTCAATAAATTCTAAAGTGGCACCTGAGCACTTTCGATTTATGGTAGACATTCATTTAAAGAAATAGACAGCTTAGGTTTCTTGACTTAACTATTCATTGAGAAATGTACAACTCATACTACAATTGAAAACGTTTAGACATCTAGACTATCTTCGTAATACTCGATACGTTATAAATTATACAACAAATTATAATTATAAATAATAATATCTTTTTATTTTTTATAACAGAGAATCATGCATTTTTGCAATATACTTCTATAAAATTTGTATAATTAATTTTATAAATAATCAAGAAATAATAATAATGCGTCGCAAGTACGCCATTTCTTCTAGGTTCACAATATATTTTATTAATGTCTAAAGAAGGTAATTATATATTATTAATACAAATATATGAGCTACTTAAAATAAAAAATAAGTACAGTAAAAGAAAAAATTATTAATATGAAGAAAAACAAACCAGATATTGACTTTATATGCTTTTTTAAAGAACAAATTAACTTAATTAAATTTTAAAAATTAGATTAAAACAATAAAAGAACAGGATGCGAAGGATATCTTCTCTCCCTCTTTAAAATGGTCGTTCGACTTTAGATCGCCTACGTTCTTCTCAAAGACAATTCACCACGATCGTTCTTGGAATATCCCACGTTCCTCTTATAAATGAACATCCCATAATCAGTAAAGCGAGAGCATAAATATTAAGATGTGAGAGAACAAGAAAGAAAGAATGCGTTTCTTCCTTAATATGATAAGCGTAGTACAGTAACTAACATACATCCTTTTTTTTTTAAATTGCGCTTATCAATCTATCAAATAATTCCACGAATCACTAAGTATGTAAATCAACCCTTTAATAAATGCTTTATTTGTTCATGTTTCTGATTGGCATTTTGTGTTTTTAAAAATCAAATGATTCTTGCACAAGTCTCAAGAGAATTATGATATCTATGTATTTATTTTTTATATATGTATGTCACAGTCAATGTGTTAATTTTAGTAAATGTATACATTTACTGGTCAACGTGTACGTTTACGTACAGTAATTGTATATTCATTACAGCAGATTATAATAACAGTATACATTTACTGAATTAACACTTTGACTGTGACATACATATATAAAATCTAAAACGCGACAATTGAATCAGAGTTTCAAGTGACGCTCAATGATAACGCTTTCTGGGAACATTTTTTACGAAAAAAATTATTAAGGATCAGAAAATTTCATTATGTATTTATAAATTTTAAATATTCTGTAAACTTTATCGCATTATCATTACAAATATCAATAATATAATTAATTTAAATAAGAATTTAAATCTAAGTATAAAGAATCTGGGATTTCATTACCGAAATATATAAAATCTCTTTCATCTTCTATTATCACATATTTAAGGCAATTTTTTTGTATATCTTTTTCTTTTAGATCAATAGACTTTAAGAAGACTCATAATTTGCTATAATTTATCCGAATCGTCATAATTATATTCAATTCTTCAATTGTTGCACAGAAGAGAAATCGTGATTTATAGGAAAGAAATCATAATCCGCGGAAGGGCGAGAAAAACGACGGTAAAGAAAAAAGAGAGAACTTCATTGATCAGCGAATAACACTCCTTAAAAAAAGCAGAAAACGACTATTTCATCTGGAAGAAAAATATATATCCTCCCTTGGAATTTATTCCTTGAAATCTGTATTATCCTTGGTGTAGAATCTCGTCGAATGGAAAATAAGCTGTGCAGTTTAAGATGGTAATGATTGAAGACACGTTTCCCGAGCCGACCGGGGGTGGTTTCCGATTATATTCGCGCGAAGGGTAATCGATTTCTAATTTTACATCCGCCACGGGGGATTAATCCTGGTAAGATAGATTTTCGTTCGTCCGGAATGGTACTCACGACACGGAAGCTGTCGTCGGGTCTCTACACCCTCTCTCTCTCTCTCTCTCCCTCTTTCACTCTCTTCTCTCCTCGAGCTGCTTCCTCCGCTGGGCGTTACTCGGCGGCGGCCTCGACTCGGCCTGTAACTACTTGCGGACTCGCGCGTACCGCGTATATCGGGCAACGGATACGGATGCAATTTTGCGAGCTGGATTTATCTTTCGTCCTCGTATTACAAGCGCATCGCGCTGCGTCGTCCGCGCGGCGATAGCGATGAACGACCGAAAGGGCGAAAATCCTATTCTGTCGTACACCACGACGGTCTCTCGTCGACGACGACGACGGCGACGACGACGACGATCACGACGACGACGACGACGACAGTAGGATGGAGAACCGAGTGCGCCTGACCGGTGGTGGCGAACGCGAATATGGCCGCCGACGTAAATCGATAAAACACGTTACGTTTTCCGGCGGCGTTCCGACGCGCCGCCGCGCCGCCGCGCCGCTTGGAGCCGACGCTCTGCGTCGTACCCTCGTTACCCCTCACCCGCACCCCCGAACCAGGGATTTTAAGCCAGGTTGACGACGACAACGACGATGATAACGAGGGGCGAGTACCGACAACGACGTCATTAGCGCGCGCCGCGCGCGGACGTGAAACTTCCTCTTTTTTCCCTTTTAATATTAATTACCCCCTGTGTTCCGCCAATGACGATGATACAATTATCACTTGGTGACGTCAGTCTACCAATGATTTTAAACAAAGATTGGTTCATTATTATTAGTTTCTCATCGATACGACGATGTATCGGAAAAGGGCAAAGGGCATCCAAATGTCGGAGCATATAGAGACCAATACGCATCTTTCCTTCTCCAGTTTCTTCACTTGGAACACGCGTTGTACGCAACTGCCCCAACATTTTCCGCGCGCGATATAGCTGTTATTTTTAATTCTAATTTAATTTGCTGTATTAATTAGGATTTATTTGTAATCATAAAAAATATTTTATACGATTATTATCAGATTTGTTTAAAATACTTGAAGATTACGTTAATGACTCTGTCTCTCATTGAATATAGAATCAAATTGTGTACATATACGGTAAGTATTTTATGTGCAACAGTGCGGTCTTCTTTCGTTTTGTGGAGAATATATCGAGTTTGTTGCCAAAACAGAAAGAAGTGTAGTCACATTCCATAAAACGCGAGACACGTTTCAATGGAGCGCATGCCCGAATCGATCTGTCAGAACTGAAATCTTTTGGTATATTTTTCGTAAATCTTTCTATAAAAATAAAACGATATTAAAACCAAGCAAACCTTTCAAATGTTTTCACAGGTGCTAAGAATAATAATAAAAGAAGAGAGTTTCAGAAATAATTGCGAAAATAGCTTGGTGTAATCTTTGCAAATTCGTAATATAGTCCATTTTTACTATTATACATGCTGAATCTATAAACAACCCATCTTTTGCATTTACGAAATTAATGAAGCAGTAAATTCTGGATGCAACGTTAATCCTAATTTAAACTGCAGAGTATCTCATTATACAAAACACACATATACAAATTTGTATTTATTATAAATATTGTATATGAATTTAATGTATAAAATCTTGTACTCACGATCTAATACGTTTTAAACGAAAGAATGTATTATATATGATTTCTATATCGTTTATAATTAATTTTTATCCAAAAGAAAACGCCATCTTGTCGTTAAAAATGCATTTTACATACGTTTCGAATTCTCAAAATAGCAATTTTGATAACGGTGTTCAGAGATATCGACCGCAAGCAAACGCAAATATAATCTAGAACTCGCGTACGAAGAGGCAACGATTCTTTCCGAAAGATGGAACATTGTGATTGTAGGGAAATCGATTTGTAACATTATTCCAGTCTCTCTCTCTCAAACACATACCAAGTATGCATACATACAACTGAGTAGACAGGTGCTATATAAAGTTTCGTAATATCTATGGAATCCTCTTTGCCTGAAATAGCAACGAGTTGAAGAGTATAGTGTGTATACGTATATATATCTATAGATAGATCAAAAATTTGCACATGTAGCTCATGTAAAGTTAATGATACGTTACAATTCTACGATCTTATACTAAAAGTTTTATTAATACAACAAATATAGAGTATTAATCCTCTATACTTAATTGGATCACAATAAAAATAATTATAAAGTTGAATGATGGAACTTTTCAAATGTAATTTATTGATATTTTAATGCAGATTGACGTTACAATAATTATTACAATAACAAAGCAGAAACAATTAATATTATTGTCATTTTTATATGTTAATAATTTTTATTCTTACTAATCAATATTAATTAAATATCCCTATCTTATATAGAGGCATTTTTTTTAAATTAAGTATAATATAGTTCGGGAGACACCCCAGAGAACATGCATATCCGAAGATATCCAAAAGACGTCTTGAACTAGACGTCTTTAAGACTTTTCCAAAAGACGTCTTTCAAACGTATGTAGATTTTCGAAAGATATTAATTTAGTCTTTATTTGTTACCACTTGAAATCGTCATTAATTCGTTATTTATTTGGTAAACACGATCAAGGAAACGCAAATATGGCAGATCTCTCGTGGTTTTAAAATTGATGACGTGTGATTAAAGTTGTAAAAGAATTTTTTTAATATGTTATTTCCTGACGTTTGTTTCTAGTAATCTATAAGTGATAATAGTTTATGTAAAAAAAACCGGAAGATAGGCCGTACCGTTTCTGTGGACCGAAGGGGCTGCCAAACTAAGCTATAATATAAAGTGGTAATCGTCCTTAATCTCAAGACAATCTCACGCAATGTCTCAAGATGCTAATACGGCTCTCAATTCATGACATTTCTCAATACTATAGCTCAAGCCATCACAAATTTTGAGCAACGTCTACATATGGATTCCGCCCATATAGTGTCATTATCTCCCGAACCAATATACCTTCTGCTTTAATGTAGATTTCGCAATGAAATATTTACTAACGATAATACAGAAGTACTGTATTATCGATAGTTGATAAATAAGAGCATATGTTACTATCACGTTTTTATGGTTTTTTCCCATATACTATTACGTGAGTTAGACAAGGACGAACAGTCAGTTTTGATTATTCGTCATTATCTAACCCACGTAATAATATGGAAGAGAACCACAAAAATGTGGACATTACTCTACGAGATTTGGTACACGCATAAGGCCTGTTCTTTTTGGCTGAACTTTTGCACCAGTTCATCTTTCTGCTTTTTCTTTCCTCCTGGAGAGAAAAGGAAGAAAGATGAACTGGTGCAAAAGTTCAACCAAAAAGAACAGGCCTATAATGTCCTACTCTCAGATTTCTCTCTGTTATTACCCTTTTACCTTAGCAACAGTAGCTGTGTTCCAAAATTTACTGCCAGTGCTGAAAATGCATAGTATACGTAACGTAAACTGTAGATTTTCAGCGTCAATTGGCAGTGAATTTTGGAACACAGCCAGTATCAACTGTCAACGAGTTATCATAGGAACTTTCCCGGAATGTTTCGGTAAACTTTCATAGAATTTAATCTGAGGGCGTATTAATCATTCTCACGTATCTCGCCCTGACAATCTCCCCTCTGAAAGTTCTCTTCCTCCCCTCCCTCCCCCCCCACTCTCCCACTCCTTAAAGCTTATCAAATATTTGTAATTTGTAATTGAAACGTGCCTACGTTTGGTTTGTCACATCAATGATGAATTTGGCGCTATCCTTGTCAGTCCTGTCGTACATCTTGTACAATCTCACTTGAATCGCGCATATTATGTTGAAGTGGCCAGAAGTAGCCAGAAGTGGCATAGCCGTGCTGCGCCAATGTGCAAGAATATGCTGTCAGTGACCACGGGATAAGCGACGATCAGAAGACGGCTTTGTGTCGTTCTGGCTATGTCGTATTTGGTGTGTATCTGATCTTTAATCACACATAACACAATAGCTCATTAATAAAACGTATTAAATTGCTTTTCATTTTTTACGTTTTATGCCATAAGTAGTTTTACTCTTTATTTACCTGCTGTGTGTATCTTAAATAATCAGGACTAGGTATTATAAGATATAAAGATAAGGATTGCAAGAATGTCTATTTCCTTTTTATATATAATGTGCTCCTTAGTGTAAATGTATATAGTGATAATTGATTTATAAATTTTGCGAATTGTATATTATGTTTTTGTTTAGATAAATAAAGGATGGGTTGTGTCAATAGCAGAGCAGACATTAACGATCTGCATCCCAACATTTTTCAAGTAATGAACGTAGACGATGATGGTAATTTTGTTTCCCCTGGACGTTTGGAAGTAACCGAAGTAGACATTATATTGTATCAACGTGGCAAACAGCATAAATGGCCGTTGCGTTGTTTACGACGGTATGGATATGACCTGGAAGGACTCTTCAGTTTTGAGTCAGGCAGACGCTGCTCCACAGGTCCTGGTATATACGCCTTTAAGTGTCGGAGAGCTGAAGAACTGTTTAATCTTGTACAGACAAAAATTCAGGTTTATATCAGTATATACTATTCCTAATATTAATATTTAAATATATGATGAGACAATATTTAAAGAAAACACTTTCTTATTAACAGGTACGCAATAACAGTGGAGATGATACACTGTCCAGAGACCTTCCAATCCCATCGCATTCTGCGTCAGTAGCAAGTGTGGCAGTACAAAGTGTGGAACCTAATTATTTGGATCCAATATCATCTAGAAGTCACAATCGTATAAATTCTAGAGTTCCTCATAGCCAACAGAATGGTATTAGAAGATTAAACAGTGTTGGAAGCAGTAGTGGCCCAATATCGCCCCAAGGAACTTTGGGATCACCATCATCACCCCCTATGCTGCCACCACCACCACCGATTTCTCAACCTCATCCGTCCTCTCTTTATGTCAATGAGGAAGTTTTGTCGTCTCTTCCCATTGAGATGGAGCGCAACAATAATAAAAGCCTTGGAAGGGCAGTACAAAGGTAGCATTGATTTATTTAATCAATGATGTAAAATACATAGGATATGACACGAGTTTCTTGGTATTGTTACAGATCACCACAAAACGCTTCTACGGTCAATAATGCGATATCCATCAGTGGACCTGTGGAAACGGAATTATTACCCATTCAGTGTAACACAGAAATATCCAGTTATGACGCAACGTCACCATTACCGACTACGGTACCCTACATGAACATAGACATCTGTAGCGAATCCAACCCAATTTCGCCAACGCACAGTACTTGCGAGGCAAATCGGCTCAAAGAAGAGAGTAACGATATAGATGGATTTGGACATTCATATATGAATATAAATCCTGAACAAGATCACACAGAGAACATTGCCATTAGAGTGCGTCCACCTCCATTGCCCGTCTTACAATCTGACATGGA